ATTTTCGCGTTTTTTTTTTTTGGGGGCTGGGGGTGGGTGGTAGGAAAATGAGGAGGTGGAGGTGAAGGGTGACAAATTAATAATTATTGCGAAAATTTTATTCGGTATGAAAAATTCCTTACGATAAATGTCACGTGTGTGTGTGTGTGGGGGGGGGGGTATAGAGAGAGAGAGAGAGAGAAAGAGAAAACCCCTTCGAAAAGGATTGAAAAATCATTATTATTATTACTATTTAATTAAACAGTTAATAAGTACAAATTAATAATAATAATAATAATTTAACGTATTAGAGCGATAGAGAAAAAAAAAAATTCGTCGTTAGAATCTGACAATATTTTCTTCCGTTAAAAAAATTATTATTATTATTATTTCAATTAAATTACAATTAAAAATGATAATAATAATAATTACCGATTTAATTTACGTAATGATAATAATAATGATAGCTTACGATTAATGAAAACAAACAACGAACGTACAAACACAATAACAAATCACACACGCATGTTTTTACTTAAACGGTTAATACTGAATTGAAGTCGATTTGATATAAAAAAAGGCGGGTTCGATTTGTTGTTTGTTGTTTGTTGTTGTTGTCGTTGTTGCACTTTGAAATAAGTTTACATAATCTTAGCGGTCCGAGTATTATTATTATTATTATTATTTTAAAAAAATTTTTATTTGCCATTTTTGTTTAATAAAATTATTCTGTTTTGATACTTAATGAAAATGATTGATTGTTGGTTGTTGGTTGTTGTTGTTGAGTATCATTCTGTGAAAAAATTAATTTTGGTTGTTTTTCATAACGAATGATAATAATTAAGGATACGATGATAATAATAATAATAATAACTAATTGAATTTCATCCTATGGTAAAAGTTTCTAGAAAAGATTAAAGAAATGGAGTCAATCATTAACAACAGTGAATTTTTTTATTTATTTTATTTTATTATTAAGAATGTAAATTATTTTACAATGTGAGGTAAAGAGAGAGAGAGAGAGAGAGAGAGAAATTTAAATTTATTATTATCTTAGAAAAAAATTATTTTAATTTTTAATATTTAAAAAAAAAATGGCGGAAATAATAATAAGGAACTGTTATTTGTCTTTTATAATTTCTCACGTTGATAATATTCAGATTTAAAAAGTTAATTTTTAATTTAATTAATACTATTAAATTTAATTAATAACAATTTTATTTTATTGTGTTTTTATTTAAAAAAAGAAATTAATAAATATATATTTAAAAAATGAATAAAATTTTTTATTATTAATGTGGAAGTAGAAATTCAAGGGCGATGAAATTTTTTTTTTTTTTCCCGTATAGCGGAGGCAGCGTTATTTAGAAGGCGGTGGATAAAAAATCCAAAACAATAAGAAATTTTGCTTTCATCTAACGTCCATTTTATTTAAATATGTTAACTTGTAAAATTTTTTGATTTTGATATTTTTAGTAAATGTTATCATCTTGTTATTAGTTGATTTCTTATTTATTTATTGATTTTTATAATTAATAATAATAATAAGTAAGACAATTTATTTTTATCAAGTGATAAGATTTTTTTGCTTATTGAAAATAAAATTTTTTTTATTATCTCAAATTTAGTTTCATTTAATTATTATTCTTTATTCGTGGTCGTTTTTTTTTTTTTTTTTTCAAAAAAATAGTTTTTAATTATTTATTTAATTTGTAATATTGTTATTAAACATTATTTTTAACAAAAAGTTGATTTTAAATTGTTAAAAATTATATAAAATATATATGTACATATACTTGGATTTGGTAAATAAATAAATAAATGGTGACAAATAAAGATTAAAATTTCTAATTCTTAGTAATCTGATAGAATAATTTTTTTTTATAAAAATAAATTTGTGATAAAAAATGAATAAAATGATGATGGAATCATCCAAAGGAATTAAGGAGAATTTTGTTATTGTACATGTCAAATCGAAAGCGATAAAATTAAAAAATTGTTTTAATATTATATTAAAAGATGTCGGACAATTATTAAAAAACCAAATGAATGTTGAAAGAATTGTGAAGAGTTATGGGATTTGTTGTAATTTGTAATAATAAAACCTTAATATTGATTTTTTAAAATATAAAATTAAAATTATTTGAATCATGTGCTTTTTTTCATTTATTTATTAATATCATTATCTTACATAATCATTACCTTGAACAAAGATTATAATCAAAATATTTAAATATAATTAATACATTTTATTGTAATTTTTTTATATAATAAATGTTTTTTTTAAACGACAATGTCAAAATTAATTTATTTTAATATCAAATCGATTTGATGATTAAACAATCAAATCGAGATTTGAAATGTCGAAAGTAATCAATTTATAATATATTCGATTAAAATTATTTTTAATGTTAATATTATTTATTTATTTTTTTAAAATGAATGTCAGACAATAATCTCACACAATTATTTTTTTTTTAATAAAGTGTCAGTTAATTAAATGTTATTTAAATTGTCCCAAGTGGTTAATAAGTTAATTGAGAATGTAAAATTGTTTGAGAACAAAATTACATATTTATTTTTTTATTGGATGATGTTTTGTCGTAAGTATTGTTAAATTTATTATTGTTCTAGGTCATGTTTGTTAAAACATGTTACACAAATTGTGCAATGTTATAAATTTTTTTTTAATAAGTAAATTAAAATCTTGCTTAATTAACATTTCTGCAAAGGGAAACAAAAATGAAAAAAAAAAAAGATCTTATTCGTCGGTTTTATTATGTCGTATCAAAAAAAAAAAAAAAAAAAAATTTATAAATTAACAATCGAAAAAATTTTAAATATTCGTATTTATAATTAAAATGAAAAAAAAAATTTAATTTGAGTTTAAGTCATTAAAAAAAATTTTTCTTTCTAAGGGTTCTGTCGTGATTCATTTAACTTTAACATATTTTTTTGGTGCATTCAGAATGCATGAGAACCCGACTACAAGGTCAGTAGATCCATCTGGTAGACGACACGGAAGTTTAGTGGTAGACACATTAGTCAAAGGTAAGACTTTTACTTATAAATTATTTTTTAAATATTTTTTATAAAATAATTATTTCTCGTTCGTTTAAATAAATAATTATTATTATTGTTTTTCACGAGTAAATTTTTAACGTGTCGTTTTTAATTTACCACATATATTATTTAACGATGATGATTTATTAAATCATAAATTCGATTTTACATCATTACCGCCATCTTGCCAGGCCCAGTAGTCGGCCATGTTGTGAAAATTCTCCCATAGTGATGTTTTTATTCTGTTTCATTAAATATAACGTAGTTTTAAGCCATTTTAAATTCGCCAAACGTTGAATTCCCTCAAAGACTTAATATGGATCTATATTTAACCGATTATTTACTAGAAAGATGACAAATTATTTAAAAATTTTTGTTTCGTGTGTAGTCATGTTTAGTTATGTATTATAGGCAAATATAATTAAATTCAAGTGTTTTAGATATTTTTTTTTTTTTTTTTTTTTTTGGGGGTAATTGTAATTGTAGCTACATTTATTGTTAAAACAGTGACATAAAAATGTGTATAAAGTGAATAAATGTATATTCTCTGGAATATTCTTTGTATTCATAAAACAGGGTAAATTCATATTAATTAATATTGTAATAGCTTTATTGATGCGGTGTTGGTTGGTTGGTTTTTTTTTTCTTTTCTTTCTTTCTTTTTTTTTTTTTTTTAATTATATATATATTTAGTATTTGTATTTAAAAAAGCAAAAAAAAAAAAAAAAATTTAATTTTGTTTGACGTGTCAAAAAAAAAAAAATTTTATTTAATATTCAAGATTGAATAAAACGTTTCCCATTCTATATAAGGATTCCGGAAATCCTTTTAGAATAATAAAATTATTAGTATTTCATATTTCATTAACATAGTTTTACTTTTAATATAAAAATAAATGATATTCTCATTTAATTTAACTTTTATTATTATTATTATTATTGAACATGAAAATGAACTCATATAGAAAAAAAAAAAAGAAAATTAATACAAAATCTAAATAAGAAATCATTATTGGACTTTAACGATTCTCATCTTTTCAATTTCGTTTTCTGTTTTTTTTAAAAATGGTCTGTGTGTGTGTGTGTGGTTCAATCGAATTATGACTATAAATCATTTTATTTATTTATTTATTTTAAACAGACTAATAATAGTTAGTTGGTTAGTTAATATTGAAAATTTTTAGTTTGAAATAGATGTTTTTTAATAAAAACATCAAATTGCCAAAATAATTATCATTTTGATTTTTTTGGCAACATTATAAGTTTTATTCGATATCAGTCTAAAGTTTTTTTTTTTTTTTCGATTTTTTAAATAATAAATTTTTCAAGTTTGTAAGGGAAACACTTATCGAAAAACTTTTTTTATTTATTTATTTATTATATTTAAAGTATTTTAAATAATAAAAATAATAATAATAATTGTAAAATACATATTTTAAAAAAAAAAATAGAAAATGCTATTATATATGCAGATAATCAAATAGTTCTAAATTTTGCATTCGTTTAAAATTATTTTGCAATAAAAATACAATTTGATTAAAAATTCTTTAAAAAGCTGTTAATAGTCATTTTGATTTTGTGTCTCTAATAATAATAATAATAATAATAATAATTGTAATTTTGCATGTTGTTTTAGAGCTAACTGGTAATTGGATAATAATAAAATTTATTTTTAAAAGCTTACGAATGACTATACATAAAAATTTCTTATTATTATTATTATTATATAAATAAATATTTTTTTTTTAAATTTAATTTATTTCTATTTTCAGATAACAAACAGTTAATTTTAGTATCCGTCGTTATTGTTATTATTATTATTATTAGAATTATTATTTTTTATTAATAATAATTAATAATAATAATAATAATTTATGCAATTCATTAAATCAAGAAACAATAACCAAAGCTCATAAATATTAAATAAAAATCTTATTAGGTTGACATTTTAAGAAAAAAATGTCTGAATGTAATTCAAAGGCTGCAAAAAATAGTGAAAAACAAAATAGTAAATACACTCCAAATGCAATTAATAGGACTACTAGTGAAACTATAAGGTATGTCGATTGTGAACCAGTTGGGAGTTCGGTTCCAGTACCTCCGAGCCAGAGGCAAAAAAAGTCAAGTTTTCAAATAACAAGCGTGGTAACGGCTGCACGAATGTCAAATGATGGAGGAGAAGATTCGGCGGACGATTTAGATGAAAGTCATACGGAGGATATATCGGACGTAATTGATAATTCTCGCGTCACGGATTTTGAAAATGAAACGCCCAGTTATTCGGAGGACACTTTTTCAAAGGATGATGTTTTTTTCAATCAGAGTTCTACGTCTTTAGGTACGGCTCCAGTCATACCGACTTCTTCCCAATACGGTTTAGCAATTGTATCAAACGATACAAGTATTAATAATCAATCAACCGGAAACGATATTAATATTAACGATACCAATAACGTTATTAACATTACGAACGTTAAAAACACGGAAAACGATTTAGGAAGGGAAACAACTCACGTGACCCGTAATGAAAGGTTTAAAGTGGTTAAAATAGAAAGTACTGAACCGTTTAAACGGGGGCGATGGCAATGTATGGATTATTTAGATCATACCATGGTTCATCATCATCCTCCTCCGCAACAAAATGTAATTAGTATGAAAAACGAAGTTAGCGAAAACCAAAATCAAGCTTCTCATATGCAAAACTCTTATCAAGGAACGGACGGCGGAATTCCAGTTAATGATATTCACGAGGAAATGGAGAATCAAAATCCTTCTCACCAAGCAGTTCAAAATAATATTCAAAATTCAGTTTCGCCCGGGCAAAGTGTACACAATCTTCAGATAAATATTTCGTCAAAGCCAAATCCGTCTAATTCAATCGTTAGTCAAAATATAAATCAGCAACAAATAATGCAAGCCCAAGCTCAGGCTCAGGCTCAAGGTCAAAGTTTAAGTCATCCAACAGTTCCTATGCAACAAAACGTTCAACAAACTCAGAGTCTCCCGCATCAGCAAATGCAACAAGTAATTAATCAAACAAATTTTCAGCAACAAAACACTACCCAGCAGCCAAATATTTCGAATCCTTCTTCCCACCCCATACAAAACATGCCCACTCAAATCAATCCATCCCAGCAGATAGCTTCAGCTCAGCAAATCAGTCAACAGCAACAACAACAACAGCAACCGCAACAACAGCCTCATCCTCAAATGAATCAAGCCCAAAATAATATCCAACAACAACAGCAACAACAGCAGCAGCAGCAACAAATCCAAATGCAACAAATTCAGCAACAAATGATGCAGCAAAATAGTAATATTTCCCAAGCTCAAATCAATCACAATATGCAGCAATACTATCCGCCAGGTAATCAAACGTCAATATTAGCCAACCAGCAGCAGATTCTTTCTGGTCAGCAAGTAGTTCAAGGTGGGCCCGCTCTTATAAATCAACAAGGCCATTTGCAACAGCCGGGTATAACGCATGTAACTCAGACCACGCAACAAATTCATCAAGGGCAAAACATGATGAATATGGGCCAGCAAATGGGTCATACCATTCAACAATATTCTAATCAACCTATTCCTGTTCAAATGCAACAACAAATGCAACAAAATTACAATCAGCAAATGGTTCAGAATCAGATGCAGCAGGTACCGACTCCGAATACATCTATAGGAGGTTACGTTATGTCTAACGCTATTCAAAGCCAACAAATTAGTCAAGCCGGTCAGTTAATGCAAGGTCAACCGATTCAACCACAAAATCCAAACCCTAGTATTCAACAAGGTTCATCTATTCCAAATCAAATGCCACAACTGATGCAACAAAGCGGTCAAATGATTCAAGGAGGACCCATGCTTCAGCAACCGCAACAAACCGTTCTTACCGGAGCTCCCTCGGGAACAGCACTCCAAGGCCAGCAGATACTGCAACAGCAAAATTACCAAAATTATTCCACGGCGCAAGCCAACGTCGGAATGAATGTTAGCGGTACTCCCTCATCGAATCAACCAATCAATTATTCAAACGCGGGAAACGTGAACGTCGCCAACGCTCAGAACCAGGGTATCACGTATTCAACTGCTCCGGTGTCCATGAACCAGGTCAATCAAACGATGGGCTACAGCAGTCAAACGGGTACAACTCAAAATCCTGTGATTCCTTATACCAATACAACGATTAATCAACAAATGTCGTATACAAATCAAAACGTTAACATGAATCAAAATCTACCGCCCACTGGTCAGTCGAGCGCTGTTGCGGCGACCGGTCAACAAGGATTGCAAAGTACTACGTTAAATCAATCTACCCTAGGCTCTTCCGGTATGCAGAGCCAAAACGTTGTGAACCAAATTCCGAATCAAATGAATCAAACGATGTCTTCGAATCAGACTGTTATGCAAGGTTCCGGAGTGTTAGGACAAACTCAAATTCAGCAATCTCAAATCGGCGGTCAAAGCCAGGTACTTCAAAATCAAAATCCGAACATGTTAGTGACGAATCAAAGTGTTATGACTCAAGGTCAAAGTCAAAGAAATCAAAACGTGAATCAAATGAATAAAATAGTGTCGGATTTAGGACAAAACGTAACGAATTTAAATTTGCCTATGACGGTCATTGAGGGTGGAGGACTCGAAGGGGTGAGAGGAAATCAACCTTTCGGAGTGGATCTTCAAGGGAGTGTAACGCTTTTAGAGAGTCTGGTCGAAGTAACCGGAAACGGGGAGCAGTTTGTGCCCAACGACGATGAAAGGTGAGTTTTTTTTTCATTATTATTATTATTATTATTATTATTATTATTATTATTATTATTATTATTAGTCTCTCGTTTAATAAGTAAATTAACCGGTTCAATCGATGGCAATGGACAGAAGAACTTGGTTGGTCAGTTAGTTTTTTAATTGAAAAATCTTCATCCTCGTCAGGGATTTTTTTTTTTTTAATTGCGTTTTGTTGAAATTTTAACCTTTTGACCTGTTGTGTGTGTCTTTGAAATGTATATCGAACCAAATGCCTAAATTATCATTCGAAAAAAGACATGGAAATATTTCTACGGGTTATTAAGGAAAACTTATCTGAAATTTATGTTGTTTGGTGCGTGTGTGCGTGCGTGCGTGTGTGCGTGTGTTTTAGGATACGGGACTTGATTTGTTTTTTATAAATTATTTTGAAATTGTGATGAATTTTAAATCGTTGCAATGTGCGTGCGTGTGTGCGTGAGTGTGTGTCTGTGTGATGTGTGATTAAGTTGTAATATTATTAGTATCGTGAATAATATAAATTATTTTATTGGGGTATCATCCGCGTTATAGTTAATAAACTTTACTCTCGTTTATTTATTTATTTATTTATACATAAATTGGAATGGGTTTTGTAGGAATTAAAAAAAAAAAAAAAATGGCGGGCTCGCGCGTATAATGGGAGAAAATAATAATAATAATAATAATAATAATAATAATAATAATAATCGTTCGACAAATGGCGACCGACTTTAAACGCGTCCTCCATCTTATATTTATTAATTTTTTTTTTTTTTTTTTTTTTTTTTTTTTTTTTTTTCGCGTCGATGATTTAAATTGTAGATGATGATGATGATATTTGTATATTTAAATTTTTCATTTCGGAATTTTCCTATTTTCGAATTTGATTTTTGTAAACAAAAATTGAAAAATCGAAAAACAATGAGAGAGAGAGAGAGAGAGAGAGAGAGAGAGAGAGAGAGAGAGAGAGAGAGAGAGAGAGTTTTTTT